CATTTAGAGCGTTTTCTCCGTTTTGACCAGCACTCCGTCAGTACTCGAGAATTGCGTTCGTTTTTCGAACAAATACAAGATACGCGCATACCGATTTGTAGATATTTAACACATTTAGTATTTGTATATAGATTACACCTCATTTCCGTTATGATTTTTCAGATCCGAGACTTTCTTCGAACTACGTAGACGAAGAATCGTTTCGGTATCCGAGTCGCGTCTGCGTGATGTAAACGAATCACACGTAAGAATAGTAATGCATTATTCTTATTATTCTATATTCTGCAATAAAAATAAATGTTTTCAAAAGCATATATTCGTTTCTTTCGTTTTGTGGAAAAGTGCCAATCGTCAAAACGAGTCAACGAAGATTTCCGCTTTTAAAAAAGATGATATGAACCGATGAATGGAAGAGTTTTTTTTCTAGCAGTCGATCGATATCGCGTGATGCGTTGAATCGTAATTATCTTATTAAATATCTTTATATCTATCTTTTTCTCTTTCCTCTCTGCCATCTTTTCGCCTTTCCTTATAAAAAAGTATTATATAAAGTCGCGATTGTGTTAAAATTTTCGAATGCTATTCCAAAATAGCAATGCTATTTCAAATACATGTAGGAATAGGAAAGTAGACGTTTTAAAATTGTACATATACGACGTATAATAATTGAATAGAATCTTTTGAGCATATATTATTTCGTAGAATAAATATAGTCGAGAAGAGTAAGTAACGGGAGAAAGTAAAAAAAATATTGAAATCAGCGCCATCTCCAGAGTGTCGCTGATGAAACGTATAAAAAAGAATAGAAAATAGCGAAAGAAGGATAGAGATAAGATAAGAAATAACCGTTAGCGTCATCTCTCGATCGAATATGCTTCTATATAAAAATATACTTCTAAAAACGCTCGAAAGATGGAGCACTATGGTTCTTATATTTACTCTAATCCTTTTCTTATTATTTACTTTCTTTGTTTATCTTGTTTTATCTACGGCATCCTAGAGATGGCGTTAATTTCATAATTTTTATTCCATCTCTATCCTTCTTCGACCTTCTTTTATCCTTGTTTACGATGTCATAAGACTCGAATAATATCTCATTTCTACAATATGCACGATTTACGAAAAAAAAAAAAATCATTTTTCTAAAAAGAAAGATGATTTTTACATCTCTTAAAACTTTTAAACTTTTATCAAATATCTTTATTAACTAATTGTACATTTAAAATCCGAAACGTGAAAAAAATAATGAGATTTTTACCTTCGAATTATACAATAAGAAATAAATAGAATCTGTGATTAT